GCAGGAAGATTGAAATTTTTTGGAATACATATATAAATTTCTTGACTGATCAACCAATTAGAATAAAATTATAAATACTGTTGGGTTCATTCTATTAGGATAGAGTCTAACATGAGTAACACATCAAGAAGTTAATTTCAATTATGGTCCCATTCATCTTTTTTCTCAATCATACAAAAATTCAATAATATACGATACTGAGTTTCATTGCACGATTTTACGTAGAATGATGAAATAATAAAATTTTATATTTGATCGCGAGAGGGCGCATTCGCGAATCACGTCGGCATTTACCGAAGACGAAGCCAGATGGAACAGGATGGAACTCGACGGCGTAAGAGGAAGCGGGAGGGTCAGATCTTCAATTCAGTTCGCATAGTGAAGCAACGTGGAGAAGAATGAACATTCGGTCTCCATCGTTGCTGCATTGATATTAAATTGTATTGAAAATATCAAATAAACTTATCAAATACAGATAACCAACTAACGAATTTCTAAATGGGCGGTACCGGGTATCGAGACGGTTAAAATATCATTCTCAGCGAACGATTGAAAACCCGGTACGACCCGAAGCTCGCCTTGTCATTCGGTAATCGTTGATTTTACTAAATTATTAAATCATATTAATTATTTAATCATTCGCGTTCGTCGAGTCGACGGAATCGGGTAACGTCAATCTCGCGATTCGTCGAGCTACACGGGCGTTCCCAGTCACGTTGAATTCGGGAACAGCGGCTGAAACAATTGAAAATCTCGGCGAGGTTTCATCAAGAATCGACATGCCAACGTTAACGCAAGCGGTAAGTTGTATTTCCTCATACAGTTCATATATATTTGTGTACGTTTCGTGTATTTATCGAAGATGTTTCAATCGGGCATGTCTAAAGTGCACGTCATTTCTCCATGGGCTCTTTTCGACCGACTTCTCGTGCGGTCGATTAGTAACCTACTTTAGAATTTCGTTAACATGACAGTATCGTCTCAAAACAGGAATATCCTGTCTAATGTAGACCGGTATACGAGTCTATTGTAATATTATCGAACAGAATCCCAAACGTGAAATCGAATACGATGGAATGTCCTGCGTCCTCACTTGTAAACAAACACGCGAATCATGGTACGTTGAGCCGCAACGCGTCCACGTGCAAAACACGTTGCGTTTCATCCGAACTTTCATAGTACGCCCTTCATCTCAGCAGATTTATTATCTGCGATTGCCGTGACCCTCTAGGTATCATATCATTATTCTTAATTGTTCGTGTTGGAGGGTATCGAACGAAAATTAGGATGTCTGAAATTTTAGAAACGTCATAATTCGTGTAATGCGCATAATTCATATTTCAATTGGACGTAACAACGTTAAGAGAGACCATGTTCTAAAATGTAAAGCGTTCGGCGACAGAATCCTTCAGTTATACACCCGACTTTCGTAAGAAACAATCAATATCGAAGTGCAAACGTTCGAGAGTAACTCATCGGCCCGTCGAAGGATTTTAAGACGGATTCGTAAATGTTTCAAACCCGGTGCGACATAAGTCGTGGCGAACGTTCAACAATTATATTTGCGTCATTCGTCGTAAGCGTCCTTAGAATTTGAACTTGACAGCAAGAATTCCGCGAAGTTTGGGATCCGCGTCGGGTCTCTGGAATGCCATAATATATTCCCCAGCCCTGCAAAATTTTTTTTCCAAATTCTACGAACGGTAACCGAGGGGGGGAGGGGCGACCTTCGAGGTCTTGTTTTCGTTATTACCTATCGAAAACTTGAAGCATAGTACACCGGCATCGTCCGTAACTATGACATCGAAGAATTCAATGGTAAGCGAAACGAGTATTAGATTTGCCGATTTTTTCAAATGCTTTTAGAATTTCAGATCATAACGTCCGAATTGTATACATATATATGAATTATCTTCTGATTTGTGCGAACTTGTGGAATTTCATCGGTTTTACAATGAATCGTGCAATAGCTGTCGGTCGATGTTAACGAATGACGCGTACGGTTCGATTCGAATTCGAGAAAAGTCAGCCAATTAATCAAAAGTTAGACGAGATATTTTCGTAACTTTTTGGTAATAGCCGAATACAATACAATTCGCGTACATCGATTCAAATATTTCTAGCGTCCTTATTTCCTGTAGCGTTTATTTATATAGTGCGTACGTTAATTACAAACGTAAAATTTGATCCGAATCCGAAGACCAGTTTCAAAAAACGGAAGAGAAAACAAAAAATATTGAATATCTCAATTGCTATTTTTGAAATAAAGTGTAACATGTGAAGAAAAAAATAGTTGGCTTTTCGTCGCTTTGAAATTCCATACGCCGGCATAAATACGACACCCGCTTTGCTCGTAGTAGTAATTAATTCTCTTCATCCTTCTCGTTTGCATCTAACCATCAGTTTATTGTTTGTTTTACAGCAAGATTTGTCGATCAATATCGATGGAGTAGTGATCAAGGATATATCCGGTCGGAGGAAGAACGAAGCATGGCAAAAGCCGTTGCATCGAGACCAGTTGCAGCAACCACGCGAACAGGAACAGCGATTGTTCCCATCTATAGGCAATTTGCTGGAGGATCTCCCGTCGCCGCCGGTTAACTTCCACAGAAGCTTACAGGAGACATCCAACGACGTCGATGCAAAAGGTTAGTGTTCATATTTATTTAGAATAAAAAATTTGTCCATTAGAAAATTAACGTATCGTTCGTTTCATTTTTTTACGTAATGAGAAAAATTTGTTCTATTTGGCTTGAGAAGTAGCAAACGTTCCATCCGACATCGATGGGAAAGATTCGTTTTCATATTTCTTTGGAGGAAATCATATCATGTTTGAATATATTTAGGCATTATTAGATTAATGTGTTATACTAGAAGTATCATTTCTTTTCTTCTCATTCTTTTTTACACCCGATACATAATGAGAAAAATTTGTTGTAATCGCCTGCTTGGAGAGCAGCGAGCGTGCCCGTTCGTCGTTTGTTAGTTGAAAGTCCTCGCGGCGCCGTTTTGTGTATTTCTGCGATTTAGATTTAAAACAGGCTCGTATTTTTTTTTCCTTCCCGGTACGTCAGGTGACATGTCGATCTCGGATTTATTTGGGCTGGGCTTACCCCGGGGTTCATTGATAAATAACCAGTCAACACCCACGACTCCTGGTTGCCGTAACCACCAGTATCAAGGACGCAATCAAGGAGCCTCTCAGCATTACCAGGTAATTTTTATATATTATGCAGGCCTCTTCCTTGCGCAGAACATCTGGTTTTTGTTTAAGTCCGACAAATTCGTCGCTCGGGAACGCATCAGAACTCATTTCCTGTAATATATTTTGTTGCAGTTTGAAACGATTTTCTTAAATGTAACGGTTCTTTCAATTCGTAAATACCGCGGTGGTGAAAATGTGATACGATACAGATAGGCAGTACTTATTGTCCGAAACGTCTGCCTGCTGCCAATACAATAACCGGAACAATGATTATTCTGATTGGAATGACTCCAACTCGCTGATCTCTGTGTCCGTTCGTTGCGCGGTTAATTTTTTTCCACAATAGAGATCCTCCCGGTTTCGCGACCTATCGATTTTCGATACATTTTGACGTAGAACAAGACGATAGAAACGAAGTTGAAAATTAAGGTAGTAACCCTTGAATGAAAACGCTGACGAAGTATTAAAATCTTAACAGTTATTAGGTATTAAATTAATAAGACAC